AGAAAAGTGGCCAGACTTTTGCCCAGCACCAACATCAGCCACACCTACACAGCCTGAGGGGGAACTGMAGATGGGGAGTTGGCACCCCATCGATGGGCAAGATAATAATGATAATAATTCCTGCCCTTTACATGAAGCTTAATATGTTCCAGCCAYGGTTAAAGGCATGTGACAGAAATTAACTTATTCCTCACACAAACCTGTGCTATAAGCACTACTATGTTGATTTTACAGATAAAGAAACTGAGTCACAGAACTATTAAGTCTCTTGGACTGTTACACAAAYGAGCCACACATCAACTCCCCAGAATCTTCACAGTGGAAAGAATGAGCTAAACCGAAGCAGGAAGGATGGTACTGTCTCGGTAAGAGATCAGCGTGGGGGAGAAGAAAGATTTTCAGGGCCGATGAGGGGGCAGGTGCAGAGTTYCCTTTCCACCGTCTCCACACCCTGGTGGGTTTCTACCACGGCTCTCCAGGTGACCCCATCATCATTTTGTATCCCCTCTCTGAGCTGAAGTCCCATAAGTCTTTGAATAAGGAGGTAGAATAGGGATAGGAGTGTCAACAGCTTGACCTTGAGCCCGAGATAGTCTTTGGACTATCTTTGGACTATCTTCCAGAACTTGGAGCCAAAGAGATGTGGGGGWTGAGGAACCTATTAGAAGAGAAAGAGGTTAGCTGCCTCGAGCTGCCAGAACTGTTTTAGTAGAACACTAGAGACCAGGAGGCTTAAGTAACAGAAAYGTATGGTGTCATGGTTCAGGAAACTGCAAGTTCAAGATCGAGATGCTACTGGTTTGTCTTCTGGTGAGGCCTTCTTGTACTGTAGAAGGTCACCTTGTACTTTCACGTGGACTTTCCTCTCTGTGCATGCATCCTTGTGGTCCATTCMCTCTGTCTYTCTGTTTCTCTCTCTAAAACAGGGTCTCACCATGTTACCCAGACTGATTTCTAACTGCTAGGATCAAACAATCTCCTTATTCARTCTCCAGAGTACCTGGGTCTACAACATTCCTAAGTCTTCCCCCCCCACACACCTAGTACTAGGACTTGAACCCAGAGCCTCACACATGCGAGGCAAGTGTTTCATAAACCACACTCCCACTCCTTTTTCTCTTATTTTGAGATAGGCTCTCACTGAGTTGCCAAGGCTGCCCGTAACTTGTGATGCTTCTGCCTCAGCTTCCTGTGTAGCTGGGATTACAGGTGTGCATCACAACAGCTGGTCACTTCCTCTTTTAATAAGGATGCTAGTCCTGGGCTGGGGTTGTGGCTCAGTGGTAGATCGCTTGCCTAGCACCTGCGAGGCCCTGGGTTTGATCCTCAGCACCACATAAAAATTAAAATAATAATAATAATAATAATAATAATAATAATAATAAAAAAGACATTGTGTCCATCTACAACTAAAAAATTTTTAAAAAATTTAAAAAAAAAGGATACTAGTCCTATTGGATTAGGCTCCCATGCTTACGATCTCATTCAATTTTAATTATCTCCTTAAAGATAATTTATTACAATTATAACTATATTMTATAGTTATATAACTTATAATTATAACTGTGCCCTATATGGGACACAGTTCAATTCATACTACRGGCTACAAAGTGTGTGGAATAGTGCCTGGTCCCTAGTTAAGTGCTCAAAAAATGGAACAATGGTAATGWTTAGTTAATGATGTTCATAGGGAAGAGAATCAGAATCAGGAAGCTTAGTAACCAGGGCTACTGAGCCTCCTCATTTGCCAAATAATTGTGGTTGATCAATTAATAAAACACTTCACCTCCAGRCTTGGCTATACAGAGACCTCACCCCAACATCCTGTAAGATCACATAGGTGGCAGCTAGGTAAAGCCCGCTTCCCCAACTGAAGCTGTTGGTGAAGAGGACAAATTTCTGCCTCGCTTCCATCACAGGTTTGCTCTCTTCTAGTGGCAGATCTGTCCCCTTCTGTTTAAACTCTTGACWCTCTTTCAGAATATTAACTGTATGACCAGGGGTTTAAATTAACATCGAGCCTCTCTCTCAAGATTTTAAGCATGTGGAGCCCCTGATGCCACCCTTTAATGTTTAGTCTGCAACATGATTGATTGAATTTGTCTTCAGATAAACCTGAATCACCTTCCATGAGTCACCAAGAGAYAGCAGCCACTGCAGGAACAGTCTTGAGAGCAATAACTCACTTGGAATTTATCTCCAATTTTCGTTTTTATCTTCCCACATTATCATCAAGTTTTTCCGCCTCCCTCTAGCTAGCTGTTTCATTTCTGTTCACTTCATTTTTCTAGAACATTTCTCCCCTGTGGAACTGGGAAAAATCAAACCCAGGACCATGAACCTCCCAGCCCCTACAACAGCTTCTATATTGCTTCTGTTTAATAAAATGCAATTCTCTAAATAAAATACAATTTTATTTAGAGCCGTTTCTATTCCTGGAAGATATAAGCACTTTTTAGCTTATGCTATAAGGTGAATTTTAGTCTCAGATGGCAGGATTGTATCTGCTTTCATAGGACTACAGCAAATTTCTACAACTTCTAGTTCCTTCTCAAATGATGTATGTTATCACTGAAGTCTGGGAATTCCTTTGTCAAATATTTGTGATTCTCCAGGCAGCCAAAGAGTGGGAACAATACATCATAAGTCACCAAGCTATCCTGGAGCTGCCCTAAAGGAGCCACACACATAGTAACTACAGAGATGCTAGTGAGAGACTGTGCTTAAAGCAGCAGGTAGGCTGGATGTTACTTTATATATTKGCTGCTTGGAACAGGAAAAGAAGGGCACAGGCTGTGATCTGAGGATGAGATCTTAATGCCAAAATAGCTCATTCCCAACAGAGAAGAAAGGTATTTGCTGATACAGAACTACCACCAGCAAAATCAAAGGTGGAATTTCCTCATGTGACATTTTTCACATTACATTTGAAATAAGAGAAAGTAATTAGCCATTTTATTGATATTTGGGTTTTAGGGTTTTGTTTATATTTTTGATTGGGGGGGGTCTCCCTATGTTGCCCAGGCTTTGCCTCCAATTCCTGGGCTCAAGGATCCTGCTGCCTCACCTTCACAGTAGCTGAGATTACAGACACATGCCATGGTTTGTGACTTGGAGAGTCACTATTTAAGATGCACGTTGTAATATGATGGGACCCATAAAAAGAATGGTAATAAATATGTAACTATCAAGGAAATAAAGTATTTATAATACAATGAAAAACATGGGTGAATTTCATTTAAAAAATGATGTTACTCAAAAGAAACCAGA